CGCCACCATTCCTCCCTCAGGGAAACACAGTTACCATTGCTCCCCTTTTTATCCTCTGTGGACCACAGGGTCTTCCTCAGCTGTCTCCCCATGCTCCTCTCACCGGCTAAGCGTGCTGTGTTTGTGCATGGCTCACTCTGTCAGCCAGCCCCCAGTTGGCCCCCATGTTTCAGTCCAATTTCTCTGTCCCTTGGTTCAAACCCCAAAAAGAGAAATCTGATTGTTTACTAGATACCAATGCGTTGGCTGACCTTGAGTCAGATGCTTGTTTCTGCAGCCAGTGAGAGTGAGGCCATCTGGGTTGGCAAGACCCATGAGCTAGGGCACTTCCCAGCCAAAGGGACTATTTTGTAGTAAATGTCAACCTATTGCAGATTGTGTAATTGCAAATGACAAAGAAGAAAGTTCATATTTTCCTGATAAACACTCCCTGAGAATAGACTTTACGTATGATGATTAGTGAAAATTAAAGAAAGGCATCACATACACTGAAAAGGAAGCATGATGGAAAAAAAAGAAGAAAGAAGGTTGAAATGAAAAGGAAAGAAAAGATGGAAATCAAGAGGAACAGAAGAGAATTCACCAAATGAAATATCTCCTGGAGTATGTGTGTGCATGTGAGAGGAGTAGGTAAGCAGGGAAAGAATGAATCAGGTTTTTAGAGAAACAAAAACACAAAAAGGAGGAAAAAAAAGGGAAAATATTACTTGGCTTGTAGCCGGTTTTCCAGCTCCGGACATCTGGAGCCAAGGCAGGGAAAGGTGAGGAGCCGTCTTCGCGGCAGCTCTTGCCCCCACGGGGGCTGGTTACCCGGGATATTTACATTAAATTAACGTGGCTGGCTATGGCTATGTTCAGCACTTGGACACGCGGTTAAATAATCAGTGTGGTTTGGCTGCTGGTTTCTTTACTGTGGTTAAATAATTGGTGTTGTCTTGGTTGCTAGCTACTTTAAAAATGTATATGTGCACTTGTTTCTCTTTTTTCTTTCTCTTGAGCAATTTTGACAAGCTGTTGGCAGAAAAGTGGCTGACCAGCTTTTAAAGGGACGCTTTCCCGCTTGTCATTTATGCTTCCTCCAGAAGCTTTTCAAGGATTTGAGAATCTTGGAGAATTTTCTTCCAGGGATCTAGACAAAGCGCTCTACTACGTAAGGAAAGAATTCAGTTCACCTCCTTTGTTTGGAGAATAGCTGTAAAGCTGAGCCTAGGGCATCTGTGATTTCCCAGAAACGGGCCCCCCTTTCTCACGATGATTCACGAGGTTCTCAGATTCACCATGAGAACTGGGAAAGAACACTGTAGTGATCACTGGGTGAGACAACCCTCCATGCAGGCACTTCCCCCTGCGAGATTCACTGCTAGACCTCTAAAACCCAGAACAGCCCTTGATACGCAGTAGGCACTCGACGCTTGTTGAATGAAGGCAAATAACAGCGAAAATCAGAATTCAGGATTGACGTAATTTCTATTCCAGAAAGCAGCTTCATTTAGTCATTTTGTTGATTTGTTTAATAATCGTTAAACTATCACAAATTGTTCTGCCCTGGGAGACTCTCTCCTCTCCAGACGGCGCCGTCCTTTCTCCTATCCTCACACCCACTCCCGTCTCCAGGCAAATGATGTTCAGAGCAATTGATCCTCTTTCAGCAGCAAATTGACTAGGACAGCTGGGTCAAGAGACACCACAAGTCAGGGACAAGCCTCCACCTGACATACACAACAATTCTAGTGATGGATGTCTATAAATCACGGATGGAGGCAAAGTCCTCAATTGCCGCTGGAAGCCACAAGCTTCTCAGGGTTCCGCAGGAGAAGGAAGCCGGCGCTCCAAGTCTGAGGTCACATACAGAGAGGAGCCTGGTGGGGGTTCAGAGTGGGACGGTGGTGAGAAAAGGGCAGTTTTGTTCCTCCAATGCACCTCATCACTCACAGAGTAATTTTACCTCTAAGAGAAGTGCAGCACATACATTTCTGTCAACATTCAGTGGTCACTCAGGTAAAAAATTTTGAGATTTTTTTTCTGATCTGTTTTGGGAGGTGGGAAAGAGGGGGGAGAAGTTACCAGGATTTTCAAGGGATTTGGGGAGGATTCTTCAGAATTCATTGATTTTGCCATTTTGGTAAGAAGTCTCTCCCTTTGTAAAAGGTATTCTTTAACACTTTTCTGACAATTGGGAGGAGGAAAACTGTTAGGAAAGGCAAAGCTTTAAGCAGTCGGCTTGGTGCTGTGCTGCGCTGTGTGGGAGAAGGGGTGCCGGCCGGCCCCGGAGGGCCTTAGGGGAGCGCTGCCGGGCGCTGTGGCTTCCGAGGCGGGACGCCCATCACTTCACCGCCTTGAACTTCTATGTCTTCAATCTTTACCTTATTCATTTTCTGAAGACTTAAATAATAATGTACGTCTTACACAAAATAAGAGAAATTAAAACTAAAGTTACAATGAAATATAATTTTCACCTATCAGATTGGCAAAGATCCAAAAGTCTAATAACGTATTGTGTCAGTGATGACGCAAGGAGACAAACACGCTCATACACTGACACAACTTCTACGGAGAACAATAGACCTATCATAGATAAATAGAACAACTGATCTATCACAATTTGAAATGTACCTCCACTTTGACTCAGTAATGCCACTCCTAAAAATGTATTAAAGTACTTAGGGACAGACAAACATGCAAAGATATTCATGGCTGCGTTGTAATAACAAAAGATAAAAATTTAAATGTTCATCAATAAAAGACTGGCTAAATAATTTATAGAAACCCAAAAGGTGAAATACTATGCAGTCATCAAAAAGGATAAGTAAGTAAACTATCAGTGTTCTATGAAGTGATATGGAACAGTGTCCGAAATATATTGTTAAGTGAAAAAACAAGGCAAAGATCATTGTTTGAGAAATACATTTATGTTTATATATATAAGTTATATCTCTGTGAATGCATAAAAGAAATTGGTAATGGTGGTTGAAGAAACTGGGTGCTGGGGGCAAAGGAGAATGGAGGCTTTCTGGACACCAGACACTCTTCTAAAGCTTGTGTGTTTTATGGTATATGCATGTATTTCTTTTTTTTTTTTTCTGCTTTATCTCCCCAAATCCCCCCGGTACACAGTTGTATATCTTAGTTGCAGGTCCTTCTAGTTGTGGCATGTGGGACACCGCCTCAATCTGGCCTGAGGAGTGGTGCCATGTCTGCACCCAGGATCTGAACCTGCAAAACCCTGGGCCACCACAGCGGAGCGTGCGAACTTAACCACTCGGCCACAGGGCGGCCCCATGCATGTATTTCTTAATCAAAAATAAATTTAAAAAAATTTTAAATAAACTGGAAAGCCAAAAAACAGAACCGTGAAGGGGCTTTGGTAATTCAATACACGTCTCCGCATGAAGCAAAGATGGATAGCATAAGCCACCTCTCCCAAACTCCCTGCACGGGAGGCCCGCTGGGACAGAGCGCCGACCCGGGGAGAACTCGGTGAGTGTTCCCGGGATAGATAACTGAACTCCTCGAAGGATTGTATCAGTATCAATGGTTTGGGGAGATGTGTACAACTTTTCGGTTTAAGTGGCATGTATGTCCTCACTTTATTTTTTTAATGGAGAGAAAAGAAATACTAAATGTGGAAGCCTTAAGTAATGAAGGTATGCACGAGAAGAGTGGGCTTAAGGGGACTTCTGGGTTAAAACAAAATGCTTCTGGGGGATTCAGCACAGTTAAACTGTTCTGCGTGGCACTACAGTGGGGAATACATGACATTATACATCCATCAAAACTTGTAGAGTGTGCAGCACAAAGAACAACCCTCGTGCAAACTATGGCCCTTAGTTAACAATAAATACCATTACTGGTTCGCCGATTGTAACAAACGTACCACACTAATAAAAGCTGTAAATAATCAGGGAGACTGGGCAGGGGGAGGGGCAGGGGGAATATGTGGCAACTCTGTCCCCTCCCATCAGTTTTTCTGTAAACCTAAAAGTGCTTTAAAAGAAATTGTCTATTAATAACAAAAAGAAAAAGAAAAAGCACAACAACAAAGTTGGAAGACAAAAAATCCTCCTGCTTCCTGGAACACACAGCAGGTACTCCATAGATAATGTGTTGGCTTCGACTGAAGCAAATTCAGTGAAAAACGAGCAGGTAAACGTGAAAGCAGATTTAAAGTGTAGGAAGAGTGTGAACTCATCAGTGATGTATTTGATAAAGTCCTGCAATATTGATTTCATTAAAAAGAATTAGATAGCTTTTTCTTTTTTAAAGATTGGCATCTGAGCTAACATCTGTTGCCAATTTTCTTTCTTTCTTTTTTTCTTCTTCTTCTCCCCAAAGCCCCCCAATACATAGTTGTATACCTTAGTTGTGGGTCCTTCTAGTTGTGCTCCGTGGGACGCTGCCTCAGCGTGGCCTGATGAGCCGTGTCCGCGCCCAGGATCTGAACCAGGGAAACCCTGGGCCACCAAAGCTGAGCGTGCGAACTTAACCAGTCCACCACAGAGTGGCCCTTGGCTTGTAATCTTTTCTTTCTTTTTTTTTTTTTTTTATGAGGAAGATTAGCCCTGAGCTAACTGCTGCCAATCCTCCTCATTTTGCTGAGGAGGACGGGCCCCGAGCTAACATCCATGCCCATCTGCCTCTACTTTATATGTGGGACGCCTGCCACAGCATGGCTTGCCAAGCGGTGCCATGTCCGTACCGGGATCTGAACCGGGGAACCCCAGGCTGTGCAAGCGGAAAGTGCACACTTAACCACTGGACCACCAGCCTGGCCCCTTGGCTTGTAATCTTTATCAATCTAAGATCACAGATTTTTCTCTCCAGGATACTTTATGACAACTATAAGCAATTCTAATGTTTTCCCCCAAATTGTTTGAGGAGCATTAGCCACAAATTATACTTGCCTGTTGATAGGTATTTTTGTTGTTGACAATTTGTTTGGAAGCTTATTGTGGTCATATAGATCCTCACGAGGTAAAAAAGCAACTTTTTAAGACAATTGATGTCTTTACAAATTCTGCTATTTTTATTTAGAGAACAGTTTGTCCAGAATTATGAAGTAGTTATGAAAAAGTTTCTTCCTTATTTCAATAGTGAAAAACACGATTTTAAAACAAGGCCTGGCATGGCTTTGAAACATTCTCCACCACCCGTTGGAGAGCCCGCCGTCCCTGGAGAACGTCCGGCGTCCGTCCAAACGCGGACGAGGCGCGTCTTGGAAACATCAGGGTACAAACCGGTCCCGCCCACCTGCGGCGCGGCCTGTGCCTCGCCGGACTCCGCTGGGCTGTTAGGGCTTTAACCCTCTGTGCCACGAATATCGCGTCTTCGGAAGGTATGAACGTCGAGTTTGCAGAGGACGGGAGAGCCTGCTGCTTTGGCGGGGTTTCCTCCGGTTGTTCCCATGCTGACACTCAGCCGGGATCTCGATTGAGTCCTGCCCCTTCGAGGACAGCTGCTCTGCCTGCTCCGAGGGCGACGGAGAAAGCTGGGTCGTGCTGCCCTTCTGCATCTTGGAGTTCTTAACGACGTTCTTTGAAGAATCAGGAGGTTTTCTTTACATCTGCATCAGTCCTCACACGGTGACGAGTCCTTAAGTTCCCGCATCTAACAACTTACTTGCCTCTGAAATGAAAGAAAATAACTAGAATCAATATACAGCACAGAGCTGCTCCAGCTACCGGTGGTGAAAGGCCGGATTGTTGTTCCCGTCGGTCACAGATAGATACTGCTGTAAAAGAAGTGAAAATAAAAACGGAGACCTGCCCTGCACGGTGACCTGAGCCGCCAGCGCCCCTGCGGCCGAGGCTGCTCTGCCCCCGACGGTGCGCACAGCGGGCCCTCGCCTCCTCATCGCGGCCGCGAACAGGCCACGTGGTGGGACAGCCGTTTCCCCAACTCGAAGACGGCAAAATTACCGGCTCTCTCTAGTGAGGGTGGAGGGCGTCCCTTGGTGAGCACCCGCTGCAACCGTGTCAGGCCCGCGGCGCATCCCGGGGCTGCACTAGCGCCACCTGCTCCGCGCCGCGGCGCCTCTCCGGGCTTTCGCGTGGAAGGGTCACCGTCTGCAGCGAAGACAAGACACTGCACCCCGTGTGTCCAAGTTAAATGATGCCTTCAAAGTAGGAGCCCCAGCTTTTATCATGACATGCCGTAGACGTTACGTTACTCTTCTCAATTGCTATGAAAGCATCCGGATGCTTGCTCCCACGTTCACCGGCCCCCCGCGGAGCAGGCTGGCGAGCCGGGTGCGCGGCGCCCTCTCTTCCCATGGCATCCTTGGTTTTCAAACCTCTCTCTCAGGCCTAAGGTACGTGCGTGTACCACCCACACCAAATGAGGTTCCAGCACTTTCTCCAGAACTTTTGGGGAAAAAAGTAATTATTTCTATGGAGATTGCAATATATGCAGCGTCTTTTCTTACCAGATTTTTTTTTTTTTTTTGTATTGTTATTGGAAGAATTCTCAGGAGTGGGCTGGGACAAATGGTGTATGTATTTCACATTTTAAAGGTGTAGCTAGATGGCCTTCCAGAAAGCATTCACATTTCCGCCAGCAACGTGTGAAGGCTTCCTTCGGAGACCCAGCTGTCACAGTGCTGTCGCAACTTCGTTGGTCCAGTCTAGTGGGGGTTGAAGTGATAGCTCAGTGTTTCCTAACTTCCTTTCGCTGACTACTAGTTAATGTAAACGTTTTTTCACTTGTTTGTTGATATCTGGATTTACACTTCTATGAATTGTCTATTTACATCTTTCCCTCATTTTCTCTTAGACTATCTTTTTCTTATTTTCATAAGAACTTTTTGCTTATTAAAAAAATTAGTCTTTTGTCATCTACTTTATAAATATTTTTCCCAGATCTGTGATGTGTCTGTTTATTGACTTTGTCTCTGGTATCTTTTCCATATGCAACCTCTTAATTTTTTATATAGTCAAATATTTATCCTTTTCTTCTGTATCCTCTGATTTTTCAGTCTTGGTTATAAGTTCTAGGTTATATGTCATAGCTTAGATTTTCTTATGTAATTTTTATTATCTTACTTTTTTATATTTAAGTTTTAATCTGGAATTTACTTTCACATTTCCTTCCAAATGGACGGCCAGTTTTGCCAGCATCTTTTACTTAGGAGACCATACTTTTCCCACTGACTAAACCATAATCTTTGTGACGTTAGTATATGACAAAGATTATGGTTTAATCAGTACCAGATTGGTTTAATTATTAAGGCTGCATCATATGTTCTGACCTCTCATTTCAGTTTTATAGTTTTCTTAAGAATTTTTAGTCATTAATTTTTCCATATGAATTTTAATATAATTTCATCCAATTCCAAGAAAAAAACCTGTTGGGATTTGAACTGGAATTGCACCAAATTTATATATTATTTGGGAGAATTAACATTTTATTATAAGTATCCTTTTCTATGTATCCAGATCTTATTTTAGTTCTTAGAATAATATTTTATAGCTTTATTCATATAGATCCAAAGTCTTTCTTGTAAAATTTATTTCTAAATATTTTATATCTTTTGTCACAATTATACATGAAGTGTTTTTCCATTTTTCCTCTCTCAGTGCTTATGTCTAGAGTACAGAAAAGCTATTTTTATATTCATATAGTATACAGGCACTTTGCCAAATTTTCTCATTAAATTTAGTAATTTTTTATCAAGTGCCTCTTGGGTTTTCTAAGCACGCATCATACCGTTAGCTGTTTCAGTTAGGGGTGGGCCAAGTTATGCTCTTGTGACAAATAACTTTAAAATCTCAGGGGTTTATCACAGTAGAATTTTTTTTCAGTTATGCAAAACTGATGTGGGCGCCGGGCACCTCTGCTCCAAGTGTCGGCTTTGCATCCCGGCTGCCCTCCCTCCCACGCCCGTGACAGCTGGAGCCTTCCAGGTCCAGCACTTACAGAAAGAGAGGACTGGAGGGTACACATGCCTTGTCTTAGCAGTCACCTCCAGTCTCGGCCTGTCGGCTGCAGCTAGCCCTGCCCACCTGCAAGGGAGTGGGGTAGTCTTCTGTGTAGCCAAGAAAAGGTGAGAACTGAAAATAGTGACGAGCACAGTGATGTTGGCCGTGTTTGCTAAAAGAGAGAGTTTTATATCTTCTTTTCCAATTTTTATGTCTATCATTGCATTTGTGGGTCTTATTACAGTTGTTAAAATTTCTAAAGAAATATTAAATACTAACGCTATTGACTATTCCTGTCTTATCTCCAATTTTAATTCAAATGGCTCTAGCATTTTGTAGTTTAACATATTTGCTGTGGGTTTCTGGTTGGTATGTTTTATATAATTAGTTTCTACTTATTCCTCCTTTATCTGGGGTTTTTATTAAGAATGGCTACTGATTTTATTGTATGTCTTTTCAGCATTGTTTGATATGATCATATCTTTTTCTCTTTTAATTTATTAGTGTAGATTATGTGGCTACATTTCCTGTATTTGGGTCTCTAGAATAAATTTATTTTGGTCTTAGAGTGCTGTTATTTTGAAACGCTGATGTATCTCACGCTTATGGTGTCTGCACCTGTGCTGGTGGCCCCCAAAACAGCCTTGCCACTCAGTCATTGGCCCATCTGACCCTGAGACCCAACCACACACGAGGAGAAAGCTGGGAGGTGAGCTGCCGACCGACATTACAGAGAGGATATGCACATAGAGAGGGGTGATGACATTACATGCATTATCCGGGGAATGGGGGGGCTACGGAGAGACCCTCTCCATAGTCCCATAAAGAGACCAGCATGCTAAATGCCCGAGATGAAAGAGAGGATGGAGGTGCCATGATGAACACTCAGAAGAGAAATGCCAGTTTGCAGATACTTGTGTGCATGTGTGAACATATATGCACACGCATGTGTGCACGCATGTGTGTATACATGTGCGTGAGTGCATGCATGTGAGAGCACGTGTATGTGTGTACATGTATGTGTGTTTGAGGGCACAGGCAGGAATAGATGGGGGGAAGTATTTGGCATTGGTCTTCCAAACGGTTACCTCTTGTGATGATGGTAAGGACTTTGGGCGCTTGCCTAAAGAGTCCCTGTACAATTTTATTTGGAGTAGCGATTTGGTCAGAGGTATGTTAGCAGCAACGTGGATAATTACTTTAGAGTGGGGATTCCAGAATGCCATCTGAGGATGCAAAACTTTCTGACAAAGTTTCTCTTATGTAGTAAGTTTACGTTGAAATGAGACAAAACAATAAGACAATGTATTAAGTTCTTTAAAAATCTAGATGTATTCAATTTAAAGGCGTCTGTTCTCCAGTCATTCCCTCCCTGTCTCTGGGGTTTAAAATCCCCTTTACTTAATAAAATACTAGTGTTAATAGATGGTAGTAAGGATTTTTGTTTGTTAATATTTGACACAATTTAAAAGTTGGTATCTTTTTTCAAAGATATTCCAATCTTTTTAAAAATGAACTAATCTATGAAATCCTAAAGTCTAGGAACCACTATTTAAGCAGAAATATACCCTTGTAATTTTTTTCAAAATACACACTCCTGGGCCCCTGGGGAGGCATTCAAGTGTCATGGAGTTGGTGCAGGTACACAGACTTTGAAAGAGTCTCCCAAGGGACTCTGAGATGTTTGCCTGGTTAAGAACCTCTGGTTTGGAGAAAGAGGTGGGAAATAACTAGTGGTCAGCAATCGTGAAAACCTCAAAGAAACCAGGGCAATGAGAAGACAGGAAGGTTGGATATGAGAGACATTTTCTTAAAAGGAATTAATGAGACTCAAGGGTGTGGAGATGGTCCTTGAGGGAGATAGAAGGAAAGATGGGGTTCAGGGGAAAGTCCCAGATCTTCAGTTGTGGGAGTGACCCAACTTTACTGTGCACCAATCTGCTTCCCTTCCTCATGCGATTCCCATCCTTCTGCTTTGTTCCCAAGAATTCATTCCTCTTAAGAAAGCAGAAGAATGGGGTGGACATTCAGGACATGAGGTAGAATATAGAATTCTAGAGTAGATGTTGCTTGGTTTCCACTGGGTGTCTGCCACAAAGTATTCATATTCACTGGTTATAAAAACAAAAATAAATAAACAGAACAGGTGAGTGGGTGCCTATGACTTGAAACTTCTGCTCAGTGGGGACCTCCTCAAAGTCCCCCAGTGGTCAGCTGACACACTGCTAAGGCCCCGAAGGGCAGAGCCCTCCTACTACTGCTTCCTGTCTGCCATACTGCTGACGCACCAGGGGTAAGTAGTACCCATCTTTGACTCTGTCATTCTTTCATCGAACCACTCGACGCTCTGGGAATATCATTCCACGTGTAAAACCTTCAGAACTATTCCATATTCTTTAAGCTCTCAGGGAGCTGAGGCGGCAGAGGGAGAAGTAATCACAAAGGCCAGGGCCTGCGTAGGTGAGAGGTGACGTCTCCGAGAGAGGGGAATGGAAAGACAGGAGGTGTCGGTCAGTGAAACGACGCTCCAATTAGAGATTCCGAACTAGAGCCTTTCGAGGGATGTGGTTCTGTTAGTACCTTGGTCTAGGGTACGAGTGAGAGTCGGGTGAATGTGAGGAAGTCAAGGAGCTAAGAGGCCGAGGTTGTCATGAACGGTAAGAGTAGTCTGGAGGGAAACACAGCAAGCCAGAGGCTGAGACCATGAGGAGTGCATGCCCGAGGGAATTACGCCTGAAGTCTGTGGCGGCCCAGTACTATGTCAACAGAGCTGAGATGCAACTCTGTTTCCCAGGATCCCCATCCCTGTGCAGCTCCATGGGAGTGTCGGCCACAAGGGAAACTTTACACCAGACCCGGAAGGAGGAAGCGAAGCAGCAGCCACATTGTGTTTATCCTGTGAAGGTGGTGGAGGCCCGAGCCTGTGGCAATTGCACCCTGCGTGCTGACTCGAAGCTCTCCTTGGCTGGGATGGGCCAGCACTGGACCTCAGCTTCCTCAGCTGCCTCCAGCTCTCCTACTTCAGCTCCTCCGTCCTGGACAAAGAGCATGTCAGCTCCACAGGGAAGGGCCCGGCCTCCTGGGAGGTCATCCCCTGTGGCATGGAGGTTGGAAGCGATGAGGGAGACGCCAGTGCCAGTTCACCCCCTCTGGTTCCAGTTTTCCTCACAGCTTCCAATTTATCCCAGGTTTCCTTCGCAACTGTCTATCTGACCAACCCACAGTGAATTCGGGCTGGATACCAGCCGCAGAAGCAACAGACCGCACCGCCTGCCGCCCACTCCCACAGCTGGGGAAGGTCTCCTCTCTGTAAGAAATCTTTCGTCTGTCTCATGCAGACACTTCTTGACTGACACAGCCTCCACTGTATGTGATAGACTAACTTCTCTCCTCTGTGTCCTGAGAGGTTATGTGTCATCCTTGGGAGGACTGAGGAAAGAGCCACTCAACTCCTTTTCTGTCTTCTGTGGTTCCCGTGAGCACTCCTGGCTGGGAAGGGCTAGGTAGAGGGAAAGTCAGTAGGTAGCTGTTGGAGGAGCTGACAGCACACTGTTGAAGGAAGCTAGAGATTTCGAGGGCGGAGGAAGAAAATAGTTTGGAAGTGGGAACAAAGGAGGAACAACAAGCCTGTGTACCTGACTTCAAGGTCTGGTGAGTTGTGGGTCATGAAGGAAAATCAGCCAAGGAATTGTCAGGGCTCAAGCGGAGGCTGTGCCTACAAGGGCCAGCTGGGGGGTGGTTGTTGGTTCCAGCTTTATTGAGATATAATTGATATATAACAATGTACAAGTTTAAAGTGTACAATGTGACAATTTGATAAACATATACATAGACATTTACCAATAAGGTTAGTTAACCCATCCTCCGTTCACATACTTTCCATTTCGTTGTCATGGTGAGAACATTAAAGCCCCACTCTCACAGCAGCTTTCAAGTACACGACACAGCACTGTTACCTGTGCTGAAAGTCTGCGCCTTTTGGCCAACGTCTCCCCGTTGCCCCCACCCTCCAGCCTCTGGAAACCACCCTTCTACTCTTTGTTTCTATGAATTTGGCTTTTTTAGATTCCATACATAAGTGACATCATACAGTATTTGTCTTTCTCTGACTTACTTCACTTGGCATAATGCCCTTGAGGGCCATGTATGACGTCACAAATGGTAGGATTTCCTTCTTTTTTTACGGCTGAATAATATTCCATTGTGTACATATATCATATGTTCTTTATCCATTCCTTGTCCCTTGATCACTTAGGTTGTTTCCATGTCTTGACTATTGTGAATGATGCTGTAATGAACACAGGAATGTGGATATCTCTTCAAGATATTGATTTCATCTTCTTTGGATTTATACCCAGAAGTGGGGTTGCTAGATCACATGGTAGTTCTATGTTTAATTTTTTGAGGACTCTTCATACTGTATTCCATAGTGGCTGCACCAATTTACATTCCGATCAACAGTGCACAAGGGTTCCCTTTTCTCCACGTCCTTGCCAACATTTGTTATTTCTTGTCTTTTTGATAATAGCCATTGTAACAGGTATGAGGTGATATTTCATTGTGGTTTTGATTTGCATTTCCCTCCTGATGCTGAGCACCTTTTCATGTACCTGTTGCCCATTTGTATGTCTTCTATGAAAAACTGTCCATTCAAGTCCTTTGTCCATTTTTTAATCAGATTTTTTTTTGCTATTGAATTGTATGAGTTCCTTATATATTTTGGATATTAATCCCTTATCGGATATGTGGTTTGCAAATATTTTCTCCCATTCTGTAGATTCCAGCCAGATTTTAGTTGGTGCAAAAAGGTGAAGATCCAGCTCTGAAAGCAGGTGGAGGATGCGGAAGATTTTTCGGAGAACAGAGTGAAAGCTCCCCCATGGAGGTGGGGATTTGGGGGCGGGGGGGGCGCGGGGAAGAGGGAAGGGGTGGGAGACAGACTTGTAAAAGGAACCAACTCAGTTTAAGTGATATACGGAGTGACGGGGGATTAGTGTCTGGGCTAGGAGGGAGGTCTGGTGGCTATGAATGGAAACCCAGACGTGAGGCACAGTGGTCCTCACGGTCTCTGGGGCTCACAGGAGCGGGGGCCCTTCTTGCTCCCATCTCCTGGTAGCCTCTTTCTCGGGCGTGGTCTATCAGGCAGCTGATAGCCCCACAGGCCTGTGACACCATGAGACTGCGGGGCCGAGGTATCCTCCAAGCAGACAAGCTGTCGAGCCCCGTACAGCTCACTGAGAGCTGTCTCAAGGCCAGGATGGGCAGGTTTTACAAACAACAACAACAAAAAGGCATGGACCTCCAGAGCAGTGCTTCTCAAAGTATGGTCCCCAGACAAGCAGCAGCAGCAGCAGCAGCATCCCCTGAGAACTTGTTAGAAATGCAGATTCTTGGGCCCCACCAGTCCTACCACATCAGGAACTCCAGGAGCGGGCCAGCGATCTGGGTTTTAACAAGGCCACCAGGCAAGTCTCATGCTCATGAGGTCTGAGGCCCACCATTCTAAAGGAACTCAGCAAACACTGGCTTACAGACACAGCCGAATGTTGACCTTGTTCTTATGAGTCTGAAATCACAGAGCACTAAAGATGAAAGGACTTGTTCAAGTGTCTAATCTGGCCTTGAACCTTACATGTGAAGGATCTGAGTGACAGAGGAGGAGTGTGGCTTGTCCAAGCCCTCCTGGCAGGACTGAGATTACAGCTCCAAACAAAGGCAAAACCCAGAGACTGGAAAATGGGCCACACAGTTGCAGCCTTTCTAATTTTTTAAAAAATATGGATTAATATTATTGTTTGTATGTTTTCTACGACGCAAGTCAGAGCAGCATGGTCTCCTTACCTCAACCTGGTCCTTTCAAGGTCTCTTTCGCTTAGTTTTGGCGGTGGCAGAGGTGCAGAGCCCGCGCCTGGGGGACGCAGCAGCCGGCTCTGGAGCAGACTATCCCGCAGCCTGCTCACTCCGCGTGGGCTGCGGCTGGGATCTGACTTTTGCCATTTCAAATTCACTTGGCCTCCGGGCAGAGGCAGACCGCCCGATTCTGCGCTCACTGGAGCCCCGGCTCCCTCTGCTTCTGGAGAGGAGATTTAGCCTTAATTTTTGTGACAGATGGAGTTGATAGTCTCTCCACGGAAAGGGGAGGAAAAAAGCGCCAGTTTTTGACAGGCCGCAGACGCCCGCTGCCTCTGGCGGTGGAAGGCTGCGTTGCGCCGCAGTTAAGGTAGCTCGCCGACTCCCGCGCCGGGGCTGCAGAGGCTGCTGTGCCCAGCGGCTCCCCTCAGAGCCTGCGACAGACGGAAACTTACAGTTTAATAGAAACCTCGGTGCGTGCCAACTTAGCCCCTCTTTTATGTTGTGACTGCGGCCAGATGGTACTGCTCAACATTCCTAAAGATTTTTAATGCTGTTATTTTTTCATCACTGTCCATGTTAGAAATGTATATTCCTAAAAAATTAATTTGGTTGATTGGATTTCTTGCAATCGACGAGGATGCTGGCTCAAGGACCATACCTGCCAGATCAGCAAATTGGGACCCGGGCACTTGGGGGGCTAGGTTGTAAATATCTCATCAGCACCCCCCTAACTAAAGTGTGTGCCTCTTTCTTGTGTGCTTTTGGGTTTTGTGGGGTTTTTTTAAGTTTCAAAGTCCCACATTAAGTCCTCTGATTTCTCTCTCCCCCCTAGGATGCTCAGGACTCAAAGATGGGGAGCTCGAAAAACAAGCTAAATTCTGAACCCAATCGACGGCACAGATTGGGGCCAGGAAGAATTAATAAAATTTCCACAAAAAGGAAAAAAGGAAAAAGAACCAAACAAAAAGGCCCATGACCGAGCCGGATGCAAACAGCTGCCCCTGAGGCCTGCCCGCTGGTTCTGTGCGCGAGCAGGGGCTCCCTATCCGAGCCTCCTTAAGAGTAGGAGGAGCTCCCGGGCCTCTGTCAGGCTCCTTAAGCCGCTCCTTTCAAGCCCTGAATGCCTGAATGTGAGCTGCCCACCACCCTCCCCGCCCTCCCCCACTCCGCAACCCCACTCCAGCGGCTCGTAAAAAAAAAAAAAAAAAAAAAAAAAGTTTCAACAACAACAGCCAGAACCAATAGCATCTCGAAAAGCCGGGAAAGGGGGCCGAGCAAAGGGCGAAAGAGAGTGGAGAAAGGAGAAAGCGGGCCGGCTCGGAGCGCGCGGGGCCGGGGCTCGGCGAGCCGGAGGAGCGTTGCTAATGTTTTTGTTTGTTTGCTTTTCCATGCATGCATAATGAGGGGGCACCGCGGCACCACGCGGGGGCTCCCGGCCCACTTTTGTATTTAAAGCCTCGCTGCGAGCGAGTCCGCGGCCGGGCTCAGCGGATCCGCTCCCCGGGCTCCTTGTCACCCGAGAAGCCGCCGCCGAGGGAAGCCCGGGAGCCGCTCTCCGGCCGCGCCGAGTTTCTGGTTCTCCCCGCGCCGCCCGGAAAGGGCTCCCCGGAGCTCGGTGGAGACCGGGGTCGCCGCGGGCGGAGGGGGAGGGGACGCGGGCGGCCGGGCCGCGGGAAGGCGGGCAGCGCACGGACCCAGCCAGGAAGCGGCGCGATGCGAGAGCCCCCGGCGGCAGCGGCGGCGGCGGCGCGGCGCTGAGCCCGGGAGGAAGGAGCCGCCGCGGCCGCACAACGGAAAATGCACCCGCGGCGCCGCGCGGTCCTGCAGCCCCGCCGCGGCCCCGCGGCCCGCAGCCCCCCGGGGCGGCAGTGAGCGCCTCCCGCCACCGCCAGGGGCCGACCGGAGGGGCTCTTCGCGGCTGTGCCTTTCGAGGAAGCAGCCGCAGCCCGAGCGAGACCCGACCTTCTGCAAGCAGCGGGGCACCAGCAAGCGGCGCGCATGGATTTATGAAAACACTCATGCAAGAGGTTGGCAGGACTGGGGCAAACTTTTCCGCCGGCTCCGCGTCCGCCGCTGCCCGCGCCTCATCTCCTTTCCCCTCCTCGCCCGGCGGCCGCCGCTGCCCGCGATGGTGGCAGGGCTGCTGGGCGGCGGCGGCGGGGCCCGCGGGGGGACCGTGCCGGGCGCCTGGCTGTGCCTGATGGCGCTGCTGCAGCTGCTGGGCTCGGCGCCGCGGGGCTCGGGGCTGGCGCACGGCCGCCGCCTCATCTGCTGGCAGGCGCTGCTGCAGTGCCAGGGGGAGCCGGAGTGCAGCTACGCCTACAACCAGTACGCCGAGGCGTGCGCGCCGGTGCTGGCGCAGCGCGGAGGGGGCGACGCGCCGGGGGCCGCCGCCGCCGCCGCCGCCGCCTTCCCGGCCTCGGCCGCTTCCTTCTCCTCGCGCTGGCGCTGCCCGAGCCACTGCATCTCGGCCCTTATTCAGCTCAACCACACGCGCCGCGGGCCCGCCCTGGAGGACTGTGACTGCGCGCAGGATGAGAACTGCAAGTCCACCAAGCGCGCCATTGAGCCGTGCCTGCCCCGGACGAGCGGCGGCGGCGCGGGCGGCCCGGGCGCGGGCGGGGTCATGGGCTGCACCGAGGCCCGGCGGCGCTGCGATCGCGACAGCCGCTGCAACCTGGCGCTCAGCCGCTACCTGACCTACTGCGGCAAGCTCTTCAACGGGCTGCGCTGCACCGACGAGTGCCGCACCGTCATCGAGGACATGCTGGCCGTGCCCAAGGCGGCGCTGCTCAACGACTGCGTGTGCGATGGCCTGGAGCGGCCCATCTGCGAGTCGGTCAAGGAGAACATGGCCCGCCTGTGCTTCGGCGCCGAGCTGGGCAATGGCCCGGGCAGCAGCGGCTCGGACGGGGGCCTGGACGACTACTACGACGAGGACTACGACGACGAGCAGCGCGCGGGAGGCGCGGGCGGAGAGCAGCCGCTGGACGACGACGACGGCGTCCCGCACCCGCCGCGCCCGGGCGGCGGCGCTGCTGCGGCGGGCGGCCGCGGGGACCTGCCCTACGGGCCGGGGCGCGGGAGCGGCGGCGGCGGCCGCTCGGCGCCCCGAGGCGCCTGGACCCCGCTCGCCTCCATCTTGCTGCTGCTGCTCCCGCTGCCCTTTTAGCCCTCGCGCCCCCGCCGTTCGCTGCAGGAGGGCCCGCGCCAGGACACCTGTGGCTTGGGGACAGAGGGAATGGTTGGGGATACTTTCCAAAACGCTTTCGACTTTGCCTAGCGGGTCTCCTCGCCGTGACTCTTGGCGCTTCCCGCGTCTCGTCTCCCGAGCATGACTTCTTGGACATTCTCCCCTGCCCCCATTCCGGGTTCCAGACACTCCCACCTCGTCTGCCGTGCAGAAACCGGCCTAGCTAGAGTTCAGGACTCCAGGGGTGAAGCGGGTGTTAGGGGGACAGCACCATAGTCCTGGACTCCAAAGAGAGGATGCTGACCAGTGGGGCCTTAACAAGTTTCAAGCGACTGGGCTTGGAGCAGGGGGATGGAAGGAGGATTTCTATTTGCAAAGGGGCTGTCTGTTTGTTAGCATTTTTCCTGTGGGGGCGGGAGGGAAAGTGCCTGTATCGACTTTATTGTGGCCAGTGAGGACATTGCAATCGTAAGTAGACAGAAAAGTCCCAGTTACCCGATGCATTCGTTCACTCTTGGTATCAGCGCCCACAGTTCTCGTTTAGGGGGGAGGGATGGGAAGGGGTTAATATTCCTGAATTAGTTTGGGATAACTTTGAGCCCTTGACCTTAATTCCGTTGCCACCACTCTGATCTCTTAGCACATTTAGGATTAAGGGTCAAAAAATGCTGGTCGAAAGAGTTGCCAGTGGTGTTGAACAATGCAACTTTTTATTTAAAAGAGCTCTGCACTGCCATCTATGAAAGCCTCTTTATGATGTTTGTTTTGTTGTCATTTTTGTTCTTTAAATCAAGAAGTTGTATGCACAAACATACGGAGAACATATGTTCTGCTTTTATCGGGGTGCTAAGCCCTGGTACTTCTTAGATAAAGTGGATTAAAACTGGGATTTGTTACCAGTTGCTGTACTTTGTATATAGAATTTTTATAAATTGTATGCTGCAGAAATAATTTATTTTTAAAAAGAAATTAAAAATTTTAAATCTGCATCCATGTTCCACCTTTCCTCCCTGAAATGTATAGAGTCTGTCTGCCACCAGGGAGCCAGCCCCACAGTCCGCTGTGACATGTGCTCCATCCAGACCAGTCTGAAAGTGTACAGTGTATTTTATAGATTTGGAGTTAACATTCTTATTTTCAAGAGAATTTATGGACATTGTAGAAATGTATAAATGCATTTCCAAACTGCCTTAAACATTGTATTTTTATAGACATCATTTAAAAAAAAGTCTTATGTTTTAAATAACTATGGCTTTGTGTATTTTTTTAATTTGTTCTATTAAAATGTGTACATCAGTAAAGAGTTTTAAATAATGAATATGGTGTAGTTTCTTTCCAGAGTTACATTGTGGTTAACCCAATAATGGATGAGGAGGGGGGTGGAGGGGCCACTGGGAATCTATCAACCATCAACTGAAATTAAAATACAGTATAAGACGAGAAATGAGGGCTATTATTTCTGCCTTTAATTTAATGAACAATTAGACATCTGTAAATGAGGCAGCTAAAAAGATGTAATTGGCCTCCATTGGTTTTTACGTTTGTGCAGAGAACTCGAAAAATAGTGTCTTTACGTGATTTGGGGGTAACCCAGACATCTCTTTCCCCTCCTCCTTTACTGCTGGACCCCCCCTCCCCCACCCCTCCACCCCCCAGGGAGTGACTGTCCTCTGGCTCCTAAATGTTCTCATACAATCAAACATGCCAATAACATCTGTTACCAATAGGTCTTAGGAAACCTGCGAGACTCAGTACTTCAAAGTCATTTTCACACTTTGGGTGAAAAAGTACAAAATTTTGTTACAAAACATTCAGGCGGGCTAAAGTAAACACACTGGGGAGAGGAACAATTACCAGAACTTGCAATATTGTTGTGAGGAGTTGTTTAGCAGTGGGCTGGAGGCTGGGCTCCTGCCAGAGCTACTGATCTACACTCAAACGCCCTTAGATAAATAATTACACTCTTAAGCTGTGTCGAGTGCTGATACACTTGACCTTGTAAATAGAAATGTTTGCAGTAGGAATAAACTCCGGCATTGGAAAATCTTTTAAACATTAACACAAAAGAGAGCGCTCTGTCCTCTGGGGATTTGAGTCTGAACCTCGCCAAGCTAGGCACTTGCAAGGGGGAAAAAAAGTTTATTTATCTTCTATTCCTGGTGTTTATTTAAAGCTTTTCATTTTAAACTCGGTGATTGGAAGGCAAGTCAGGAGTTTAAAAGTCACCACAAATAAACTTTGTCTGAGGGGTCGACAGATTAGCAAGATCTCGTGTCTCTTTATATGATATTAACATGTGCTGAGAAAACGTAACCAGATTGCGCGGCTGCCTGAAGTAATTAACGAAGCTGTGCCCCCTTCCAGCTTCCTCCCACCATTCCCACCCCCTACTTTCCAGGTTTCTTTGGCCTCTAACTCGCTCTATTCTCAGCTTTTATGGAGGGATTCAAGGCACTTGTTGGATGGAAAACCAGGATTGGTATATGCACAGCATCAGAAAGTCTGAGACAGTTGTAGTGTCAGCCGAGCCTAGGAGAGTGGTGCGTGGCTGGAATCCCGTCACCTGAATGGTTGAGTAAACATATTGTTAAAACAAAGCTGAAAGCCTTGTTTCTTTGGGAAGGGGACAAAGCCTTTTCCAAGAGACTTGTAAATGAAATCAGCTTTCTTTACAAAGCCACGAGTTAGCAATGCTCCTGGTTTGTCCTTAAATATATTTAAATCATCTCCATCTCATGTTATTTTAACACATTCTTAACTAAAAGTTGTCTTTGTCCCAGTAAAAGACCCAGTTTTCTCCAGTAAGAAGTAAAAGGCATTAGCACTAGAAAAGGCCTGATAATTAACTGCTACAATAAACTCACGACTTGATTTTACAGGGTCTTGTCAAAAGCATCTGCCTGGAATAAATCAACACAGCTCACTCTTGGGGAGAGGGGACACGAGGCTTCAGGCTTTCTTCCTGGAAGAAAGTGAACATTGATCAGTGGTCCATTTTAATTTAAACAGTCCTACACTGGAGCCCAGGAGCCCCCTCATCCCTCTACACACCTAGTGGATTCCAGAACAGGTTACTGAGATGTTAGGACCTTCGACTGTGGGCTGTGGGGTTGTGTGTTGCCATCTGCTCCTAGGCAGAAAGGATTTTTACAGATGTTAACATCTGTAATATCTCCTGCTCTCTGGGGAGCCTGCTGGAATTTTGGACATTTGGCCGTCTCAAATGTCTCATGGAGAATGCCTGGAAGTGCCGTTACTGACAGAGGAGAGGCCTTGGGCTTTTCCTGGGCATTCTCCAGGAAGCGCCCCTCTTCTGACAGCAGTCTTCCGGGCTGAGGGCTACTCCTGCTGGATTTCACGTAAAATCATGTGTCCTTGTGGCTGCTCCCATTTCCCCAGTTACCAGGTTTGCATTCTCAGTGACAGTTTATTTGTCTTTGGAGGCACTTTGGTGACAAAGGTTTAAGGGAGTGTGGGACAATGGTGGAGAGCAGGGAGGCAGTTCATTGAGCTGACAGTGACCATACAGTAAATAGAGGGAGGCCCAGGCTTCACTGCTTGCCCAAGCACACAGCCACGCTTTTGTATATGACCACAATAGGCATAACGTAAGGTCTCTGTTTGTTTTGAACAATATATAGCAATGTACGCAAGCAATACGTGTATGTAAAGTGGAAAAATGGCTGGAGGGAACTAAATTCTTGTACTAAGCAGCAGGATATGCCTGCCTGTGGGCAGGGCTCCTACAGACTTCCAAAAGTAAGGCAGCAGCTCCTAGCGCCAACTGCTGCAAACTGAAGGGGCCGCCACACTCTGGCACATCCGGGGGCACTGCGGCTCTCCCACTGGGGGCCGTGTGAGTGAAGACACATCTCAGAACCAGTAGTCTCTCCTTTTTAGAGTCAAGAGGAATGGCACTGAGTGGATTAGCTGCGTTCGCACCCCCATTCCATCCCAGCCACGCTGTGTAGTATAGACTAAAAAGGGGGAAAACACCAGGAAAACTTTCAGAGGCATCGAACTCCGCATTGAAAATCTTTCTACTTTAAATTTTGGGTTTGCATTATTAGCTTCCTGGGCACAACTGTGGAAGTTCTCAAACATAAACTCACGTATCCCTTTTCGAACCTGTAAAAAGAAAAGCATACATGGTTTGTTTTTTGACCTCTTACACCAAGGAACGTCAGAAACGCTGTCAGTTGACGGGATTCCTCCCAGCTACTCAAAGCCAGGTCGTTGGGGAGCATCGTGTTCCAAATGCCTGTGGCCCGAGAGTAGTTCTGGGAGGGCTGGGTTTCCGGTGAGTCTCCCAGCCTGTGAGTTAAGTGAAGTTGGATGTTACTGTATTCTGTTTGAGGAATTGCCTCTGCTGGACAGTTGAGAAAGTTCACCCTTCACTATCTGAATGACATAAGTAACACGCTATTAGCATAAATACCTTCTAAGGCATCCATTTAATCAATTTCTTAAATAACAGAATGATCTACTACAAAATAGTGGACTGTATACACTATATTTTGGCACAAAGATGGTCATTCTCCCGCTAGTAACCAGGGGCTCTAAATAAATGATTTCAACAATGTTTTATTAAGGACGACAAGAGCCCTCGAGCTGCATTAATCGGGGAGAAGTCGAGTGGCACTTTTGTTATGGAAATGTCAAGCACACAATAGCGCTGCCAGACAATGTACAGCCACTTCATTCTTTCAGCCATGCTGACACCTCTTAAAGAGGAACTGCAGGGAAAGATGTGGGAAAGATCTGCTTTCCGAGGAAGCTTGCAGCGGATGTTTTGGAGGGCTACCTCCGAACGCTGTGCAATGTGCACGCCACAGGAGCAAGAGAGGCTGCTGAGGTGCACAGTGTCTCCTTCCCTCATTTCTTTTCCCTCATTTTTTGACATGGCGTTTGTCAAAACTATATTTTAATGATTTCGTAGCTCTACAAATTCGATTTTATAAAACGGATCAAAGACTCAGTTATTCTCAGTGGTGCTGAGATGAGCGGCTTTGCCATGCTCTCCTTAAGCAAGTGGAGTGCATCCTAAAGTCTGCAGACAGGTGAATGCACACAATCTCGTCAAGGACACCTTCAATCTGTACGAAAAATCAAATCTTACCGGTTTCCAGGTTTTATGGACACCTCCATGTACTCTGGTTATCAGTATGTATTCTTACAAATTGATGTCTATGTTTAAATTTTATGAGTTCTATAGGATATTTGTGCGCTCTTGCATACCAGAATGGAGTAACATCTTATAACTAAATCTTATTGTGTATTTTATTACTGATCAGATGTTTCTAAGCACCAAAGTAAAGAATAGTTCAGTGAGACTTGAGGCCTTTCCCATAGACAGGTCTTTAATGAAAATGTCAGCCATCTAACCTTCAGTTGTAATCCTGTCACCTCTTACCTGTCAGATAGTTACACCTATTTGGAGCATCCTTCTGTAGCAAACATTGAAGTAAGCTTTTATGATGACTGCAACTCAGGTCTGTAATCCTGAACAGAGGAGGAGGGGGCGGAGGAGAAGAGCCCCTCTGCTTCCACAGGCATCTGCCCGGGGGTCATGTATGGGGCCAGACAAGTAAGGCGCAGTCTTATCCCGGGACAAGCTGGCCGTCAGGATGGATACTTTCAACATCAAATGGTGAGCACAGAGGAGGCTGACTGGATGGTTTAGCCCAACGTTAGATTTAAGGAAAGCTTCTTGGAGAAGGCGACACTGAAGCCACATCTAAAGACAGGAATGGGAGTTAGCAAGGAGAAAGGTGGGGAAGACATTTCCGTCAGAGGGAACCACATGTCCTAAGGCATGGACGGATGGAACAGCATGGTGTGTGTGACCACTTCTGACCACCAAAGCATAAAGTAGGAAGTAGCAAGGATGGGGCTTGAAAGAAGGGTTAATCCCGGGTCGCAGAAGCCTTGAGTGTCAGGCTAGGCATTGACTTTACTCTGCACAGGGTACGTGACAGGAAACCTCTGGGGATTCTCAGCTGAAAGCTCCAGAGGGTCCCCTTATTGAACAGAGGACACGATGGTTTTGAGGCGTGAGGACCAGGGGCTGGAGAACAGTTAGGAGGCTGCTGCCAGGTCAGCGGACAAAGGCCAGGGCTGAACTAGAACAGAACGGTGGCAGTGCCGGGAGAAGAAGGCGCGTTCAGGACACTGTGATTGGTCAAATATGGAGTGTCCCGAGAGGGGGCGGCCAATAGGACTGCTGGGTTTCTGGCTAAGAAAATTGGTGCAGGATGTCATCTTCGGTCCTAGTGGGAGAAGGGTTGGAGGGCACGCTATGTTTGAGGAGACAGGAAC